AATGTTTTACATTTTTTATTACATTTATAATTTGGATTATTTTATTATATAATTACAGTATATACACATTTATACACACATAAACATACTGTATATATACATATATGTATGCAGTCACGTGTTTTCCTTTTTTTTTTCTTTTTTTCTTTTTTTTTTTACATGCATTCCTACTTTTCCATGTAAACAAAAAATTACCTAAAACAATAAGTAATTTATTAGAGACTCTTATTTTGAAATCCACGATGGTTCGTGGTCACGTGACAGTAAATAATGCACACAGTCTGTCAAACCTGTATGTGCACACATATCACCTCTGCTGAAGATCATGAACTTTTATATCGCAGATTAAACATATTAGGCACATATCGGGTGATTGGATTTACTGCAGGGGATAAAATCAACAACTTTTTTTATTTTGACCCTCTCGTGCAGCACAGGTGCATTTAATGTTGCATTTGAGTCCCATTAAGATGAATAAGATGCAGGGGCTCCAGAAACAACCCTAAATATTTCTTCATTGATACTGTGGTGGTACCATAGTAACGTGTTGATATCAAATGCTTTCTGATTATTAAAATCTGTCTATGATGTTCCTCAGACAGCAGAAGAGCTGAAATGAGAGCAGATTTGACTTTTCTGCACGTTTGATTGCTGCTTCCTGTAGTCAGAGGCACATTATCAAAGACCGATGCCAGAAAAGCCAGTAAGATCCAGGAGGCTGAGGTGAGACTACTGTCTGCAGCTGAGACCAGTTTTACACCGCTTTATCAACAGCTGTGGTGTAAGTGCTAACACTGCTGAATGTGTGCTCCTGTGTCTGAAGGTGACAGTGGCTGATCATCCGGTGCAGGATCGGGGTCTGCTGGTGACGGACCCTCAGTGGCGGGACATCGTGAGAGAGAAGAAGAGGTTCTGTCCTCAGTGTGTGTCCATGTGACACTTGAAAGGAGCTGTGCTGGGATACATCACACCTGTGAGCCACACAGCGTCTGTCTTGTCTGTCCTTTTACCTGTCGTTCTTTCTGTTTCTCAAACCTTCTATCTATCTATCTATCTA